TCGCGTCGACGGCGTCTTTGGAGCAAAAGGCGCTGCGGTGGCAACAGCTCGGTCACATCTACGGCCTCGACGACAAGCACGATCAAAGCGAGCGCTGTGCCCGGCGCGGCGTCGACGCCTTTACGCAAGTCCATGGCCCCCATGACATCACGACACTCCAAGCGCAAGGCTTCTTGGCCATGTCGATCGCGAGCCAGGGCCGACCAATGAGTGAGTGGGCGCCGATCTTTGCGGCGACGCTCGCCGCGCTCGAAACCCACGGCGGTGCCGCCAGTGACGAAGCGCTCTCGGTGCGCTGGAACTATGCGTCGGCGCTGGAGCGACAACACGACATTCCTGGCGCCTTGCGCGAGCACCTTAAGCTCTTCGAGCTCCAACGCCACAAGTTTGGCCTTGGCGATGCGCGGACCGCGGAGACGATGAGCTGCGTCGGCCGCGACTACAACCAGCTCTTCATGCCGCGCGTCGCAGCCCGCTGGCTTCAAAAGGCGCTGGCCGTGGAAGACGCAACGCTTGGTGCAGATCACCATGCGACAATCTCGACAATCCTGAGCCTCGCCGGCGCCCTCGCGCAACAGGGCAAGGTGGCGCAGGCGCTATCATGGACCAAGCGTCTCGTCGCGACAAGTGACCGGACACTCGGGCCAGAGAATACCACGACGATGGTCAGCAAGATCAATGTCGCGATCTTGGAGCTCATGGCCGGTAACACCCGCGACGCCATGACGCAGCTCCTTCGCCTCGAAGCGTTGATGGCGGATCGGCCGACAGTTGTTGACTTTTTGGCGCACGGTACGAGGTTGCTTCCACGCTCTTAGTTTAAGAATGCGACCATTAGTGCAAGAAGCGCTGGGCCTCGCGCACTGGGCGGACGGCAATGTGGACGCGGCGGCGACGGCCTTTGCACAGGCCTTGACCAACCTCCCGTGCAAGCAAATGGCGTGGTCGTTCTTTCGCTTTTGTGCGACTGTCCCTACCACCGCGCTCGACAACTGGCACCACGTGCGTCGCTATCTCGAGTCGACAGACGACCCCGCGCCCGAGACGTGGCCCGCGAGCTGCTTGAATTGCTACAAGCCGATCGTTGGCGGCTTTGTCGCGTGCGCCGCGTGTCCAACGGGCCATTTTCCATTTTGCACGACGTGCGCCATGCGTAATTCCGCTCGTCTCGGCACGTTCTGCACCCATGAACCACGAGCTTTCCAAAGCCAGACGACGTTGCCGCCGCGGCGGTACTTTCTCCAAGAGAAGCTCGTGTCGATCGCCAAGGCAACAGCGACATCCTTTGTCGATCTCGACGCTGCCTACTGCGCGTACGACGCCTACTGCGCTACGCATGACGTGCCACGACTTGAACGGCTGCCGCGAATGTCAGTCGAAGGCTTGAACCGCGATTGGCACCCGATGCTCTGAGCCCACTCGTCGTTGTCACACGAGGTATACACCATGTGAGTACGCGACTGGTAAGCCGGTAAGACCATAACCATCGAATATCATACGCGTATACAAGTCGCGAAATGGATGAACT